ATATATTTTCTTTTCTTGGTATCATCAGGGACTTCCGGAATTTGCCATCTGCAAAAAATTTTAAAAATAAAAAGTTAAAACAGAAGCACAATATAAAAATATAATTAAATTATTTAAAATAGATTCTGTGTATCTCAATAATAATATATAAATATTAAATATTTAATAGTCATTTTATTAATTCTATTGTCCTATCGTCTTATATCTGTTTCATGTATTAAAGTGAAGTCCAGCGCATTTGCAGACTCTTCCACCTCTATTTCTATATAGTCTATAATACTAGCAGAGTATGCACCATGTTTCATATATATTTTTATGTATGTCATAGCTTTTTTTATCATGGAAACGTATTTAAATTTAAATATATTTATAAGACATTTCTCCAATGCCCGATAGATCAATTGAATTTTCACTTATTGCCATGCGTAGCACACGACTATATCATATATACTTGTGGCTCTGCCATTCCATTAGGTATTTATAGAGACTGCAGTGCAGCAAATGATATGCTAATTCAGAAGCTTTTTAATCAAGGCCCTAAGCCAAAGCCATGGCCAAAGAGAAAGCCAAAGCCATAGTCAAAGCCAAAGGCAAGCTGAGGAATGGAGTGTATTTGCATTTTGTTTACTTTTTTGCCATTGTTTTCTCTTGTGCTTACGCGCTGCGTGCTCCACGTCCTGACTCAGCTCCTATGTGGCGGCTGAGTTCCATTGTTGCGCTCGAATGAAATCAATCATGTAATTTATGTTAGGATAATATGGCCCAACCACGGGCGAACCCCTCTAAAATGGACTGTCAAGAAATAAATATTTAACAATAATTGATTTAAAAGGCGCATGCAAATTTTTGCCAGCAGCAGCAGCAGCAGCAGCAATAGCAGCAGCAAGGGGCGCCAATCAAAAGTAAGACGCGCACGAGGCCTGTCTCATTTCTTTTTTTAAGCCAAACAGCCTGGGTTGGCCGGGCACGTGGGTAAAGCAACGGCTGCTCTTGACTTGGGGGTCGCCTCTTCATCTGTTCGTCTCGAGTGTTTTTTTTTTGGCCCGCTTTTCCGGCTTTTTTCCAATTTCCTTGGCCGCTAAGCAAACAACTTGTGCGGACCTTGCTGTCGCTTAAGCGTGAAATTATATGAAATATCCTTTAAAAAGCTTTTGATTTCGCATCCTCCAAAAAAGCAAAACAGAAAAGGAATGAAGCGTCCTGCAAGGACAGAGGCGCAGCCGGGGCTTGTATGCAAATGTTGTTCATCTGCTTAGCGTAAAAGTTGTTTTCTTACTTATTTCAGCAACAAGGCTTTGGGTCCCGGGAAAATCGCATTTGCATGCCTTTGTCTGAAGTTGACCTCGTTGCCGTTGCTGGTGCGTCAGGTGTTGCGGCCAGGATACTAATGCTTCCCGTTAACGCTCTTAATGGCATAGACGAGCTGCCTCTGACTGCATAATGGAGTTGCCAGGGCTCAGATGTCGCCTGTCACCAGTCGCCAGTCGGCTGTCGGCTGTCGTCTGTCAGGTGCATTCATTCACCTGCTCTCTAATGTTAATGACATCTCCTGGGCCGATGCATCAGACCATTTTTGGGTTCCTTGGAAAAAGTAGCTCAGTAGCTTGCTGAGCAAGTGAAAGGCCATCGGGGCTCGGTTAAATGGGAGGCTGGGAGTGAGTTAGGGCTGCCTGCCAGAATATACAAAAGGAAAAAACAGATAAAATTAGCATTACTTCCGACTGATCACAATCGGCGCATACTAATTGCTCGCTCGGTCGCAACGTAGGTTTCATTCATGGCAATCATTGAGTAGCTGCCTCCAAACTTGGCATCGCTGAATGATTCTGCTGTGATTTTTTCCAGTCCGTCTAGACGAATGTCTCCCCGGTTCATATAAGGCAACGGCGACGCGACTCGACTTGACTCGCGACTCTCTCTCTCTCTCTCTCTCTCTCTCTTTCTACTCTAGAGGCCTGCTGATCTTCGCTGTGCTTTAGCCAATTCACAGGAAACGTAAACGGGACAAGTCGACATGGCGGGGTCAGGGGAACGATTACCCTTGCTTCTTACGAAACAACACAGAAAACACCAATCATCCACATCATTGTCAACACGCCAGCGTCGCCGTCAGTCCATAAACGGACGCACCTTTTGCCTTATTGGGAGGCAGGCTCTGTGGCTGCCTGTCATAACTCTTGGTAGGCGTACCATGAGCCCCGATCTCAGTTACTCAGCTTGCCACGAAATGGTGCACTATGCGTCTGCCTGGCTAAGGCTCTTTCTCCTATGGACATTCTCGTTGCCAGCGCGTCCTAAAATGGCGCAGACGCCGCACCTGGGAATATCGAGAGCCCAGCTCTTGGCGTCGTCATACTTTCGCTGCAGTTCCAATCCCAGCTGTCGGTGCTTCGCTTCGCTACGTTCTCACCGCTCTCAGCCCAGCTCAACTCAGCTCAGCTCAGCTCAAGTGTCAAGCGTCAATTGGCGTTGAAGTTTATTGCCTTGGCAGCAATTAAAGCGATTTCATTTTGGTTTGGGGCTTGGCCATGCGTAAAGGCAACGCATTTGATTTGATTTTTGATTGGCTGTCAACGCAATTGATTGCAGAATTGAATTATCAAATTGGAATGAACAAACGGCTCTCTGGACTCGTTTCATAATTGGCAGCCAACGGCATCCAACTTCTAAGCAATGACTCAGCCTCACTGTCAGGCAATGCCACATGCTTTCTACACTCGTAAACTGCACTCATTCAATGTGCAACAAAAAGTATCTTCAGCCAAGTGGTATTTTAGCTGTATTTATAGAATTGCTAAGAGACTTTGACTTTATAAATAAATGAATCTTCTTCAGGTGTAGCTACAGAAGTTTTAAACTCCCTATACTTTCATCAATCTAAAAGATTTTGAATGCTTAAAAAAATGTTCTTCTTACAACAGTTTTGTACTCTCAGTATTTTCTTCCATCTTTGGCTTAGACAACAACATTACGTATAATCATAGGATGGATATGGATATGGATATATGGTATGGATATACAAATCCATCTTTCAGTTCGGAGCTGCTCGGAATACTCAGCTACAGAGCATAGCTTGATATCTACTAAGACTCTGAGTTAGTTCAGTTATGAACCAAAAATCACAAACTTCGAATTCCCAGTGAATTTTTCTCTTTAATTTAAAATTTTTATAACTTAACAAGATATAGTTTCACAACATTTTGAGCTTGACTTAACCTTTACAGGTTCTATATTAATGTTTAATCTTCTTGACAATTTAAATTATTTGCTGTTAAAATTGTTGGCTAGGAAAGTCCTCAACTATGAAACTTATTATAATTTCAGCTTCGTTGCATATGTTTTGTTGTTGTTTCTAAAGCATAAGCTCACAAATATATTTTATATAAAATGCATTGAGAGTCTTTTAATATGCTATTTGCCCAATAATAAAAGTTGATTTTTAATACTTTTAGACCCACAAATTGTGGGTTTATATCTGAAGTCATAAAGCTTCTAATAAAGATGTTTTCATTGAAGTTTCGCTGCTTTTCTCTGATGTAATTCGCATATTAACAAGGCAAATCAACTTTATTATTAGTTAAGCTGTATTTGCTTTATTTAATTTTCAATATATGCTTTATTATCTTATTTTTATTTAACATTTGGGAGTGTTTTTTAAATCCAAATAAGATTCTCTTAAATGCTTTGCTTTGCTTTGCTTTTATGCTCGGATCCATTGCGACTTAGTGCAATTGCCATAACTGATTGCCTGGGACACTTTTATTAGGCAAATTTCTTATGCTTCATTTGCTTTACAGCAATTTGGCTAAGTAAGTTTTTATTGCTGGCTTTTGGGTGTGCAGCTTCGCTTGCATAACTCAAAGAGAAAAATTCATCACCGCAATATGCGCAACAGCGCATGCAAGTGAAAAAGGCTAGAGTAAAAAAAAACAGTAAAATAGAAAAGTGGCAGCAAGGAAAATTGTCATAAAGGTGCAACTGACAACGCCAGCAGCAGCAGCAGCAGCAGCAACAAGAAAAGCGAAGCTCGTAAATTTCAATTTATATGCAGAATGAGCAGTGAGTAAAAAAGACACACGCACACACACACACACACACACACACACACACACACACACACACACACACACACACAAACGCACATGTACATCTTATAAATATATATACATGCAGCCAAGGAGCCGTGCGAAAAGTGTCAACGTGATATTTTCTCGAATTTCCCAAAGATTTCTTTTACTATTATCTTTTTCTCTCTTTTTTTTTTTGGCTTGCAAGTGGAAAAAGCAATTTCATTAGACAAATTGAAAAAAATAAGTGCAAGGCAACAATAATAATAATAGACATGGCGTTGCCCGTTATATGAACAGCTTATATACAGCGGCATATATATATCTTTATATATATAGTATATATATCTGCTGGCACATAAGCCTGGATAGACGCCATGTTGAACTGAACTAAAGAATTTCGTTGGTCGCTTCTCATTCGCTGCGTTTATTTTTGTTTGCTAACGCGCATACGAGTAGGAGTCCCACACACACATACACACACATATATACAGTTATGTGTATGCTCGTCGCATGCATGATGAGTTGGCATCCAGCCCAGCAGGATGCTGCGCGCGCGTTGAAAATAGGCGGAGACTTGGCGGCCAACGGCGCCTTTCACACTTGAAAAGCAAACGAAAGCAGAATGAAAAAAATGAAAAAGAAGAAAACCCACAGCAGCCTGTGTGGAAAACGCAAAAAAAAAGCAGGCAAAGAAAATGCAAGCGACAACCGTTAGCTGTTCGCTTCTGCTTCTTCTGCCTTATCACAATGCCAGAGCTCGGCACGATTCGTTTCTGTTTGGCCGCAGCGTCGTCGCTGATTGGAAGCTTCGGCGTGCTGCTCGTTTTTGGGGCGGAGCAAAAGCTCTCAGCACAGTGGCGCCGTCTGCGTTGGGGAGCCAACAATGGGGGCTGTTTGTGCCTGTTTGTTTCTTTTTTTTTCGACGGGGGTTTCTTTATTGAGTGCTAAGCTGCTCACAAGACATTAATTCCACGGGCAGCCTGTATCAGGCCCACGAATCCCTCCGTGGTCTCACGGGCCACAGGTAATATATACTCGGGCGGCAGCAAGAATCCGTACTCGCCCCTATCGCGTAGCTCTAAAGTAAAGGGTATGGTTATGTTCTTCACACCATAGGCCCAGTCCTTGCCCGAGCCAGAAACTTCATCTGCAATATTTAAGCACAGTTAATACCGAAATATATCGAATATATAGATCTTACATAGAGTTGTAGCACTGGATCCATAGTTATATTCGGTGCCATAACGCCTGACCACTGCATCGGCAAAACCTTTAGCCACGCCCATCATCTGTGGATAGTGCTCGGGAAACTCCAATGCAGTATGACCCCAAGGCGAGAGCAGAAGCTGACTATACGAATGCAGGGAAATATAGATCTTAATGGTACCCTCGGGTATGGAGTTGTTAATATAGCTCGTCAGTTGCCTAATCTCCGGATCAGACTCCGGATAGGGACCGGCATAAGTTTGCTCGCAAGGATCAGCCGATGCGCCAGCCTCTGAAAAGGGAAATTTTATTGATTTCATGGATTACTTTTAAAGGAAAAGGTTTTCTATATTCTTTCACTTACCCATCCAGCGATAGTTAAAATTGCGATTCAAATCAGTTCCAACGCATTCTCCTGTAGGATCCGAGTTGAATCGCGATTTGCGCCACAAACGCTCCTAAATAAATTATGAGTAATAATTAAGTGTCATTGATTTTATGGCTATTCAAAATTCCAAAGAATATCAAATGATTAATGAAGCCAATTAATGTTTTTGGCAGCTCTGTAATCTAGAAGATAATATCTTATCTTTATACTTACAGCATGGCCCCCTAATTGGGGATTTTTTTTGACACTTACCACTTCATGTGAGTAGGAAAACCCATCCACATTAAGCACGGGTATAATGTACCAGTCCACATTATGTGCTATATCTCTCACAGCCGGATTCCGCGGCACGAGCAGCTCATCAATGAAGTACGTGATGGTAGCAGAGGTGATCCATTCATTGCCGTGAATATTCGATTCGATAAAGACGGCGCTGTTGCCCGGTTTGTAGGAGATCTTGATGCCACGTATCGGACGACCCTCATAGGAGTCACCAATGGTGAAGGGTGTGACTACGTGAGGATAGCGCGCCTCAATCAGATCTAGCCAGGCGTAGATCTCGTCCAGGGTGTGATACTGAGTCCACTCCATCGAGCTCAGTCGTTGTTTGGGACGCTGTTCATCGATCAGCCGCTGTACGTTATCGATCTTGATGCTGTAATTCAAGTTGTGGCTGTTGAGTAGAGCCTCAAATGCCTCCTGGCTTTGGGGCGGCAACATAATGTCCGATGAATCGCCAATACGACGCGCGGCGCTCCAACTATTGAGCTGTTTCAGAGAAAAGGCTATAGGGAAATAGGAATACATTTTTCTTGACTTACCTTCAGAACTTTCTCATTGTCACTGAGCAGTTGCTGGTCTTTGACATCATTGATTTGGACTGTGTACAGCTTGTAGTTGTCATAGCGCACCTGTTCGCTGGTTTTAGCCTGGCTAAGACAGGCCAATAGCAGAACAAATTTCAGATGCATACCTCTCGATCGAACCACTTGCGATGGACTGTCTTTGTCTCAGCCATCGCCTACGCTTGTTGATTTGTCGATTTTATCGCTGATTTTATTTTATGGTTCATTGAATCCGAGGCAATTTAGTTTTTATTTTACTTTTTATCAGAAGAAAAGCATTTGGACACTTTGATTCTTTTAGCTGGTTAGCTGGCTGCTTTGTCAGCATAGAGCAAAGAACTTGAAGTTGTCTGGCCAAGCCCCGTGGTACTTAGGCTGTCTCTCAACTTTGCACATAAATTTTGTGCAACGGCAGCCCATTTCATTGTAGGTCACTGCATAATGAAGGCACCGCCCCGGAGCACATAAATTTCTGTGCTCGCTGGTGGAGATTTCAGCCTTCAGCCTTCAGCTTGACTTGTCGCTGGCATTAGTGCGAAATTCTGTTTAGGCCTTTTTATGCCTCGGCGCTGTCCTGTGGCGAGTGCTTAAAGGACTTTCGGCTCTTGGTCATATTTTGCGCGGGTCTTAGACACAGAGAAAGCTGAGGGTTGTAGTTTCTCTTGTCGTTGTCACCGCATGAGGTGTGCCAACGTGTGTTTTATTAACGACTCTGCGTGGAGTGTGAGGCTTTTAGATGGTGCCACTGGGCCAATAGAAACTTCTAAGGTGGGCAGAAGCTGGGGTAACAGCCCATACTTATGTTGCCTAAAAAAACCAGTTTGGATAGCAACTAGAATTTAGTAGTTACCAAATTTTAATCTAATATTAATTTATATCAAAGCGCGTGTGCCAAAATGTTAATAAATGGCTCATAAAAACATAAAGCTTTATCAGTCAACATTGATTTAAGTTTAATTTCTGTGCGTTTCAGATATTAGCAACTGATAATCAATACGAAAACTCAACAGTTGATAAAAATATTATCGACTATTTTAAGTCTACTTAATCAGTAATTTATCGACTATTTATGAATACAATAATTTTGGCTGGCAATTTTCATAAGCTAATATTGATTTTGTCTAGCTTTTTATGCATTTTATCATTTATCGATAGAACGTTATCGGTGTTACATGTGCCCATATCGATAGTTATTCGTTATAAACTTTGAAGTTTATAAAGTTTATAGAGTATACTTTCAAGCTTTCATCTTTCAAGGTAATCTTCTTATCTTTTCTTATCTTTTCAAGGTAAACTTTCATCGATATTATATCGATCAGTCTTAAATTCATAAGACTTCTTAGTTAACATTTAGCTTTAATGTTACGTTGATAATCATCATAAAAAATGTCCACAGTAGAGCTGTATGCCTGATTTGATATCCCAGCCAATCGATAACTTATCGATTACTTAGCAACCCATAGTTGGCCGCGCGTTAGCAGTCAACAACTTGAATCGCTATTCTGTAAAATACTGAAAACTTGTTATGAATATCAAATATTCACTCATCGAAGCTATATTGTAATATAAATAAAATAAAATGGAGTTGATTCTCCCCTATCTATTTATGGTGATTGGCTGCTGGTGCATCCTTATGGAGCCGCAGCTGCGAATTTGTACAGTAGTAAGATGCAATTTCTTGGCAGTGCATATCGAAAATTTGTGGCCAGCTGTGCTGAGGGCAAGTCTCTATACCCTGCCTGTCGCGCTGGCCGTGCGGGGCAGCAAACCGAAGAAGGCTGAAAAATATAATAACTACAGCTGGATTATTATGATACCCTACATAATGTACTGCATCTATGTGTTTGGGATAAGTTTAAGCAACATGCGTTGCCAGCTGATGTCCGAGGACGTTCGGGCAACTCAGAACTTTGGTCGAGTGCTGGCTAAGATTGTCTTCGTCTACTGCATTCAGTTGTTCTTTATACTAGAGACGGCTGTGGTAATGGTCTACGTGAAGTGCTTGGGAGTTGGCTGGGGCGGCATTCTACTGCGAGCTGGGGCAAGCTCTAACAACAATTAGCTGTGGCTTATTTGATTAGCGCGCTAATTGCCAGCAGGCAGCGACTCGCACCAATAAATTCATGCACATTAATTTCTTATCAGCGCGCAATAAAGCTAGCAAGCCGGATTAAAGCCGTCCGTGTCTTGGGGCGCGGAGGAGGCAGGCCTGTGGCGAAAAGTTGCGTTGAACAACTTTCAACACCTTGGCGCGTGGGGCGTGGAAATTTTGTAAAACTTTTAACCAAAGAAAAACTTGTGGTTGCGCGTGCGATAAGCCAGCGCCGCATATTTAATTGCAGCGAGCTCGGCGAGGACGCTTTGGGGGCAGCTTTAAGACAGCGGCTCGCGCTGTTAGCCGGATGCCAGTCCTTAAAATGTCATAAATATCGCGGACAGCCGCTTCCTGGCGTGCTTTTTTTCCGCAGTGCTTTTGTTAATTGTGGCAAGAAACATTGACGTTACATAAATCTGGACTGCTATGTGACTTCGGCCGGTGGACGTGGCGTATGCGCAATATTTGCAACAGACTGAAAGAAATGTCAATGCCGGAAAGTGTTTAGCATGCGCCTCCGTTTTCTTTGCTTTTTTTCGTAGCCACATGTTGTGGATTTAATTAGCCTTAAAATGTCCAAGCTCCACAAATGGCGACTTTGCATGCCATGCGAAAAGTGTCCAAGGACCAAGGATAAGCGAAGCTAGCACCGCGAGGAAGGAAGTTGCATGTTTACCTCAAGTTCAATTTGCTTGTTTAAATATTTTTCGGACAGCTTTTCACATGTGAGGTGAGCCGCAGTTATGAAATGTAAAGGAAGCAGCATGTCAAGGTTTTTGGTCATAAGTTTGAAATATGTCCCAGGTATTTTTACCATTCTTAGCCACTAAAGAGGTTTTTCTACTTCGTTTTTTGTTCAAAATCGTTTGATAAATTACCGAAATTAAATAAATTTAACTTTAGGAAAATTGCAGAGAAAGGCGATATATCAAGTATGAGCTGAGTAAAATAAACTTAAGTATTTTAATTGTTTATTTTCACAGTATATCGATTTGTCGAGCAGCCTGTATCATGCCCACAAATCCCTCCGTGAGTTCACGTGCCACAGGTATGATATCCTCGGGAGGCAAGACAAACCCGAGTTTGCCTTTATCGGGCATCTCTATGGTATACGGTATGATTATGTTCTTCACAGCATAAGCCCACTCCTTGCCCGAACCAGACACTTCATCTACAATATTCAAAGGTAAATAATGCTTCCAGTTTTATATAGATAGATTGCTCTTACATAGAGTCGTTGCACTGGAGCCATAAGTAAACACCGTGCCATTACGCCTGATTATACCATCAGCAAATCCCTTAGCCACAGCCATCATCTGTGGATAGTGCTCGGGAAACTCCTCTGCAGTGTGACCCCAAGGTGAGAGCACATACTGGCCATAGGAGTGCAGGGAAATGTAGATCTTAATGATACCCGCGGGTATGGAGTTGTTAATGTAACTCGTCAGTTGACTAATTTCCGGATCGGACTCCGCATAGGGACCGGCATAAGTTTGCTCGCAAGGGTCAGCAGAAGCACCGATCTCTGAAATATAATATAAATGTATAAAAAAAGATATATTAGCTATATATATAAATACTTACGCATCCAGCGATAGTCAAAGTTGCGATTCAAATCGGTTCCTATGCATTTGTTTGTAGGATCGGAAGGCAAACGCGATTTGCGCCAAAGACGTTCCTATTACAAACATTATAAAGATAATCAAATATAAATAGTCTCTCCATGAGAATTGAAAGTTGTTTGGGTGCCGATAAGATTGATAAGGTTGAAAAGCAGCTCGTAATCTTGTCGGCAGCTTTGTTCATTGGATACAATCTAATCTGAAATGTATTGCAGCGCTACCAATTTATTTATTAGGGCTTACCACATCATGCGAATACACAAAGCCGTCCACATTTAGCACAGGTATAATGTACCAGTCCACATTCTGTGCTATATCTCTTACAGCCGGATTCCGCGGCACGAGCAGCTCATCAATGAAGTACGTGATGGTAGCCGAGGTGATCCACTCACGAGCGTGAATATTGGACTCGATGAAGACGGCGCTGTTGCCCGGCTTGTAGGAGATCTTGATGCCACGTATCGGACGACCCTCATAGGAGTCACCAATATTGAAGGGTGTGACTACGTGAGGATAGCGCGCTTCAATCAGATCTAGCCAGGCGTAGATCTCGTCCAGGGTGTGATACTGTGTCCACTCCATCGAGCTCAGTCGTTGTCTTGGACGCTGTTCATCGAACAAGCGCTGCACGTTATCGATCTTGATGCTGTAATTCAAGTTGTGGCTGTTGAGCAGAGCCTCGAACGCCTCCTGGTACTGCGGCGGCAACATAATGTCCGAGAACTCGCCCGGTTGACGTGCGTCGTGCCATGTATCTAGCTGTTTCAAAGAACTGGCTATAGAGAAATATAAATAGATATTTCTTGACTTACCTGCAGAACTTTCTCATTGTCACTGAGCAGTTGCTGGTCTTTGACATCATTGATTTGGACTGTGTACAGCTTGTAGTTGTCATAGCGCACCTGTTCACTGGTTTTAGCCAGGCTAAGGCAGCCCAATAGCAGCACAAATTTTAGATGCATACCTTACGAACGAACGACCAGTTGTAGACTGTCTGGGCTTCAGCCAAAGTCTATGGCTTGCTGATTAGCGCTCGTTATCGCTGCGTGCAGACGTATAGGTAGCCAAAGGTGTATTTAGTGCATTGGCATATTTTACCCCTTAGCAATGAGTCTTGTGCTTGGCAAAATGTTATCTTGCATAACAATTGGATAATTGCTTAAGCTTCAGTCTCACCTCTTGGCACAGGTATTCCTACTAGCTGCATTCTGGCAGTTTGTATGGGGTGTGTGTGTGTACTGCGTGCTCTGCGGCCATTCCTCATAAACGAATTGTGGTTATTATCTTGATAATTACAGTTTGGCTATTGTAAGCCGCCTTGTTGTTAATTAGGGCCATGTTCTGGCTGTGGCAGCTACATGTTCCATTCTCATTCTAGTTGCAGCAAAATGCTCATGCGTGGCCCACGCCCACCCGCCCCGCGACGGGTGCTATGGGCGTGGCATAATTAATGCTCACCTGTTGGTTGCCCATCGCTGGCATCCACCTTTAATTGCCAAATATGCACGCTCGTGTGATCTCAAGGCTCACACGCCGTCTGCCACAAGTGCCACTCGCTCGAGGGCGTGGCATCTGGGCCGTGCGCTGCTTTTGTTTATTTCAGCGTCGACGACGTGTTCAATAAGCGATTATTTTTTCAGTTGAAAATTCTTTGTGCCGTAAATTGTTTTTACTGTCTGTTGTTGTTATTGTTGTTGTTGTTGCTGTTGTTTGTTCTTTGGCGTCGCTGCTGGCAGCTATTATTTGTTAAATGAAGCGATTTGTTTGTTGTCATTACGCGACGAAGCGTTAAAACATTTTCGCTTTATTTTTTCTACGCTCGAAATTTGTTTTTGCTGCACCGTCGTGCCACGCATATGCCAACTCCACGCCCAGAGTGGTGGGCCGTGTGGCACACACCTTGCCTCTCGCCACTGGCTGGGCGTCGGTGGCCTCTTCTAAACATGCTTCTCGATGTGAGAATTCCAAACAAGCTGCGCCAGCTGTCGAACCTGGCATATAAGACGGTTTTTTTGCCAGAATTTTTCAATTGCAAAAGGAACAAGCGAGGAATTTACCTCATGTATATGGATCAAAGTATGTATTAACATTGTTCCCAGCAGACTTATATGAGACGTTAACTAACTTAAGTATATATTTTTAATAAGATATGAACATAGGCTAGAACTTTGAGCTTAAAATTTGTATAGAAATAAAGTGTTTATATATTATTATTATATATTATTTATTTGATTTCCTAAATATTTTTTATCTTATTTTCATACTAAATAAATAATGTCTAAATATATTTATTTCCTTCTTCATTCATTATTAATGCAGTACAATTCATTTAGGCCCCTCTATTCGCTTCTCACTTACGTTTCTTTCATTCTTTTAAAGCCTAGCTCCAATATCTTTTAATATATTTCTTTAACATAATTTTAATCTTTTTAATTTTGATATTATTTATATTATTGATGTTGGAATTATTTAATATTGTATTCCTAAACATTTTGATGACTCTTTTATCATAGTCAAGTCATGACTCTATCATCAATTAATTTTTTCTAATACAGCATTTGCATTTGAAACTCTTTCTTCATATATTTTAATATATAAAAATATATGTTGAAATATAAATAAAATAGATCTGATAATATTAAAGTTATTTTACTTTTATAGCTAACATTTCTTATGTTCATGCCGTAGCTGTCATTAATTTCTACTTATTTCATTTTTCATTCGCCTCTCTATGCACTTCTCACTTGGCTTGCTTGCTTGCCACCGCCTTAGCATTTGCAGTCAGTTCGTTGCTTTAGAGGCTTTGCATACCCAAGTCAACTATCAGACATGTACGTTAAGCCTTTGCCAGCCCCATGCCACCGTGGGCGTTGTCTTCGCCTAATCCGCTTTTAAAGTAAGTAACGAGGCACAAAAAACGAATGCAAAAAAAACCGGAAATCACAAGTCAAGTTGATGAACTGTCTCTGCTTGTTGTTGCCAACAATGTTGTTGTTGTGGCTGTGCTCGTCTGCATTGAAACTGAAATCTGAAATCGGCCAGACACACAAAAGACATGGCACCTGCAAAAAGTTTGCAGACACATTTACCAAGCTGCTGTGCTCGCTGTGCTCCGACCTTTCTTTCAGTTAGAGATTTACGCATTTATTTTGCATTTTTTATTTGCCACACAAAACATGCGCGCAGATTTAAGCATATCTCCAAAAAGGAGTACAATTTATACAGAAAGAATGCTGGGAGAAAAAATCGACAAGTTAAGTTGGTTAGAACAATTTTTGGGTTACCTCTCGATTTGCCTGCGTTGACATGACAAAAGCGCAGATCTGCATATATTTGCATGTCATTGGACGGTCCAAAGAGGCAGCGAGCGCAGCATCAGGCAAGGACATCGAAATCCCCTTAAGACATTCGCTTGCCCACGTTAACAATATGTTAAGTTCCACCTGCCGCTCCTCCTGGCCGGCTTTCAACGAGTTAATCGCTTAATGTCGCCCAGCTCTGGCATCATTTGTCAGCTGTCTATTCTTGGGGATTGTCGACTATTATGCTCACGGAGTTGGAGTCTAGCATAATTGTAATTTGTTTGCATTCGCTGCAAAGTAGCCAATTGACAGTCGCTGAAACCAGCACATTTGCACCACTCGAAAGTCCCAAATTTATGGCCTCAAATTGCTTTTGGTTTTACTTTTGGCTAATGTCCACTACTGGCCAGTGCCATCGATGCCCAGCCCTAAAAGGTAATAAATATCAAAAGCACCCTGGAGGCAAATATTTACTTTAAAATTGAAATACTCACCCCCACCTTCTCACAGTGTTTGCTTTGGCTGCGTAAGTGCGTGAAAGGGTTGCAGAGTATCAGAGCATCAGAGTATCAAAATAAATATAAAAAAGGAATCGCCTTTAATGGTCTCGCTGACTGGTTTGGGCTTTGATGTTTCGTGCTGCTGTGGGTGTTGGCAGGCAATCGCTAAAGAACCCAATTCCCACACCCACACCCCCACACACATAGCTACTATATATGTGCTTAAGTATCTCTATCTGGCTATCAATAAAACGTTGCACGCATCTTTGAAATTCAATTTTGAAGCTACTTTCGGCATTTTATTGCCTGACTAAATTGTTTTTATAGGCGCCGCAACTTCTAGTTGCTGCTCGCCTGCCTTTGCGTTTCTGCGGCACTTTAATTTCTTCATTTTCACTGCTTCTCGTTGTCTGCGGTCTCATCTGATTGTTGTCGCTGTTTGTTGTTGTTGTTGCCGCAGTTGCCAGACCATAAAAATTAACAATTAACAGAACGCTTGAAATGTACAATCGCAAATCGCGGCTTACAAAAAAGCCGAGCAGCAAATATATAAAAAAAAAGTCTAGGAATATTTTAGTGGGGTATGCTCGACTTGCAGGTGCCGTGTGAATTGGAGATCAGAGTGAAGCAAATTTAATGGAATTTTTGACTACAACATTCAGTGATCACAGAGTGAGTGAATGACAGAGAAAAGGCGAGAGAGAGAAAGAGAGAATGGAGAGAGAGAGGGAAAGAGAGAGCGAGAGCTATGTATAGAAGGAGAGAGATAAAGAGAGAGGGAGTGAAAAGGTAAACAGGGAATCAGAGGGTTTGAAAGAGAGAGAATGAGAGACAAGGGAGAGATATGAGAGAGAGATAGAGCGAGATAAGGAGGCGAGACATAGAGAATAGAGCTACAGAGGGAACGAAAGACAGATAGATAAATTCTAAATTATTGCCGTAGCAAACGCCCTGATCAGGTCGCAATGCCCTACCGACGCTGAGGTCTACATAGAGAGCATAATTATGGGTCGGAAGACTGGCAGCCAGCCAAAAGCGGACAGCGTGGACAAAAGGGTTATGAATGTGAAATTGTCATGCAAGAATTAGCCATGTTCTGTGTTATGGCCACGTAACGAGTATTTCGTTACATTGTTTTTTTTTCAGCTTTTCTCATTTATTTTGCTTTTATTTTGTTATTTGTACATTTTGTGGGCAGTCGTCACGTCAGTTGACCCGGGCAGAGCCTTGTTTTACGGCTCCATTCACTCTTGGCATGCCGGCGATTATTTGCGAATTGTGGAAACATTGCTAAATGTTTGCTAACGCTCAGGAAACGTAAACATTTAGTGTAGTTCAGCCCGGGTCTGGCTCTTTGGTGGCCCACTTTAAGGCAGTCCTTAAGGCGTTATTTTCTCATATTCGCATTCATAACTAACACCATGTAAAATGCATTCTAATGTGCGCAAAAATCCAATTTAAATTCAGAGCGTTTCTGTCTTTTAGCTCGCTGGCTCGCAGCGTGCAATCACAAAATTAGTTGACGACGAGATAAGAATTTCAGCAGCGCAGTAAACGAAGATGACAAAAAAATGAAAAACGAGAGAAAAAAGTAAACATAATGCGTATAAATCAACGAAAGAGATGCTGCAAACAAATTCCAAATAAGTCCTGTGAGAGACGTGGAAAATTCATTTGACAAAATGCACAAAAAAGCAATTTCCAAGCTGCAGACAAATTGAAATTTACGCGTGGGGCAGGTGGGCGATGGGCGGTCGACTAGGGGTGCCTGGGGGCGTGCCGCTGCAGTGGCAGTCGGGGTAAATAAATATACATAGCTCGTATGTATAAACGGCGACAGCGCCGGGTATATAAAGAGCGACACTCCCGCTAGGGTACGAAGATGCAGCCACCACCTAAAAGTATGCTACGAAAATAGTCGAAGCTGCGCCAGCTGCCGTATGTGAGAGAGCTCCTACTCGGTCTACATGGATGTGTGTGTGTGTGTGTGTAAGGGCAGCTTTCAACTGTCTCTGTGTGTGTGAGTAGTGTGCGCTTTGCCATTCGCGCGTTCAAAATGGGAGGAGCTCTTATGCAAACTTTTCATGCGCAGTTGCCAATGTAAAGAAAAATAAATAGAATAAAATATATAAATATATATAGAAACATAAAGCTTTAAGGAAATATTGCTTAAAAATATATTAAAAATTTAATACAAGTAT